TCCCGGCCCCGCTCCCGGCCCCTGGAGCTTCTCCCGGCCCCTCCGCTGCCTCCTTCCCCCCGAACAAGGCCCCACAATACGGAACATCCGCTGCCGCAACGTCTCGTCCCTGTGTCAGGAAGGGCTCCCGGGCCTCCCACGGAGAGACGAACCGGAGCTGTTTGCCTTGGCAGATGGAGCTGGGGGTGCGTGTGGAGGCTTTGCCGAGAGAAGGGAGCTCCCTGCAGGCAGCGCTGGGTGAATCGAGGCGGTTCTTTAAGGGGTTCCCGCCGGAAACGCGCGATTCCCTGTAACGGGCACAAAAAGGGAAGGGTGAGGGGCAGGACGAGCCGTCTGTGAGAACCTGACACGCTTCCCGGCTTCTGCAGAGCTCTGTAGCCGTGGGAAACTCCAGCGTGTCGCTCCGGGAACAATAACCAGGTTGCGGAGAATAATAATCTGGTTTTATTCCTGTGCATCTGGTGGGCAGCAGCACTTGCTCACAGCCCTGGGACACGGGGTGGATTTAGACCTTTGAGAAGGTGCCTCCCATCAATTGTCCTCTGTCTGTTGCCCTTCCAGCTAATGAAGTGCCCTTCTCCTTGTGGCCCAGGTGACAGTGACATCGACAGGCTTTTCAGCTGAGGCCAAATGAAGCTGCACCAGCCCAGTGTGTTTTTATTTTACAGGGTGACTTGGCAAGGTGGGCATATTGGTTGTTCCCTCAGAAAGACAGGGTGTTGGTTGGAGCATGAGCAAACAGTTACATTGGGTAAACACTGAATCAGAACATTCCTCACCAAAACAGAGCTTTAGTTTCTGTTTATCCACCAACTTCCAGACAAAGGTGAAGTTACTCTTAAGAGCGTGTCTTTCAGAATGTGGGTGATGTGAGCTGATCCACAGTGGAGTGGCTGGTCTTGATGCACAGGAAGGTTTCCTGAGGCAGGGAAATGCCAGGGCAGTGGGGAGACCCAGCAGGAGCTCTTTGGAGAGATGCTGATGGGGCCTGGGCGTTGCCAGAACACCTCCCACCAGACCAGGTTGCTCCAAGCCCCATCAACACTGCCAGGGATGGGGCAGCCACAACTTCCCTGGGCAACCTGTGCCAGTGTCTCACCACCCTCACACTAAATAATTTATTCCTAGCATCTCAAGTTTGTTCATGAGCAGTTTCAAGCACAGTGTTGGCTTCCCTTGGTCTTCTTCTTGGAAAATACTTACTTTATCCCCAGCTGGGTTTTCTGGTTTTGTTGGGTTATTTTCCTGATCACTGGGTTATTACAACAAAGAATGAAACTTTCTACTTAAAACCGAAGTGCCCAGACATACCTAACGTGTCCCCAGTAGGTGGTGCTGCCTCTTTTTCTTGGTGTTCAGTTACTGTGTTGCTGGCTCTGGTCACCTAGAAAAGTTGGGGCTTTCTTGAGTGAACTGAAGTTAGTAATCTAATAATAATAAATACTTTGTTTGGCTTGATTTTTTTGGTTTTGTTTGTCTTTTTAATAAATAAGTGTTGCAAGTAATTTGGTAAAGGAAATCAAGTGTGGCTGTGTAGCTTAGTAATTAAGACAGTCATCTGGTTGTGGAGGGACCAAAATCAGGTTTTGGTCCCTTTGCCACAGATTGTGACTAAATCA